CCAAGCAGCCTTCCACTTGTTGAGGAACCCAGATATCCTTTGCCCAGGGGAGCTCCTGGCCAGCTCTCTGGTTCCCCATTTTTCAATAAAGCCAACAGCAGGGGAGGCATCTGTGCCGTCGCCACGGGCAGCGTCTCAGTCCTATAGTGTGTTCCCACACAAACAGCTTGAGCACAAGCTCCCTCCTCTCGAGGCTGCAGGTGGCGTCCGTCCCTGGTTACACATCAGGAGCAGCCTCCTTGCCCAGCCGGGGGCCGCCCTTCGCCAGAAGTACTGCTGCGAGCATTTAGCTTGTTTCTCGTCTCCTGCCCCCAGATGTGATGCAGTCTGTCCTGCCCTCCATGTCGCCAGGTTCTGCATCCTCAGATTCAAACAGCTGCAGATCGACGACCATTAAAAAAACAAAAATGTGCAGGTATTTTTTCTGTTGTTATTTCCTACAAAATACCTGGTAACAACCGTTGACGCAGCGCTTCCACTGCATTAGCTGTGCTGCAGAGAGGACTTAGGGCCTACAGGAGGATGAGGGTAAGTTCTAGGCAAACACGATGTTACTGTGTGAAAGGGACTTGAGCATACTAGGATTTTGGCATCTGGGAGAGTCCTGGAACCAATTTCTCACAGGAATCCAGGGATAAGTCTCGGAAGTTGAGTTGCTGGGTCAAGGACACAAGTCTAGAGTGTTGCTATGCCTGCCAAATCGCCTTCCTGGGTTTTTTTTTTTTTTTTTTTTTAGTTGTCAATGGATTATTTATTTATTTTTATGTGGTGCCGAGGATCGAACCCAGAGCCTCATACATGCGAGGCAAGTGCTCTACCCCTGAGCCATGACTCCTGCCCTCCCTGGGTGTGAACTGCCTCCTGTTCTACCAGAGTAGATTGAGCATTTGCTGCCAAATAACCCAGTGTCTTTGAGGCCTGGTGAGGTGTGAGCGAGGCTTGCTCTTAGATATATTTTTTTTTAAATATTTATTTCTTTTAGTTGTACACAATGCTTTTATTTTTATTTATTTAATTTTATGTGGTGCTGAGAATTGAACCCAGGGCCTTGCACGTACCAGGCGAGCGCTCTACCGCTGAGCCACAACACCAGCCCCACTCTTAGATCTTTTCTTTTCTTTTTTTTTTATTTGCACTGGCATTGAACCCATGGGTGCTCTATCACTGAGCCACATCCTCAGTCCTTTTTTTTTTTTGGAAACAGAGTCCTGCTAAGTCCTTAGGGCCTTGCTAAATTTCTGAAGCTGGCCTCAAACTTGCAATCCTCTTGCCTTAATCTGAATCGCTGGGATTACAGGCATGTGCCATCATGCCTGGCTCTCCTAGGTCTCTTCTAACCAGCTCTTATTCCTTTTCTACAAGCTTTCAGCTCATATTTTTGTGCATCTTTCATTGAGATTTCTGGCTTTGTGTTGATTTCTTGGTGCTCTTTATATATGGAGGAGTGTAGTAACTATGTGCCTAAAGATTGAGTGGCCTCATGATGAAAGTGCCCCTGGAATGAGATCTTTCTTCTGATGAAAATGTACATGTGCACACCTGTCCCAAGGGGCAGGTGAAATCCTCCCACACCACCCCAATATCTTGAACTTGTAAGGAAAAACCTGCCGACTGAAAGCAAAATGGCAAAGGCTGCAGGGCCTGTGCACAGCACCTCTGAGCCTCCCCCGCTCTCCAGCTCAAAGGGAAGCTGGGCAAGTTGGTGTCTGTGGGAAGGGGCCAGGGGGCTGCCCAGCAACCCTGGGACGTCTGCACAACTGAGAAAACAGACCCAGAGAATCAGGGAGTATGCCTGAGCACGCCGCTCGCCAGAATCCTGCTCACGCCCCTCACCCCCTCTGGGTGCCCTCTGCTCCCCAGCCACTGCACCCCCATGGGTCTTTTCTTCCATGTATCTCTCAGAGGCTGGCCCCGCACTGGTCTGGGCTGCAGGAAGGACGGCTGCTCATGGCCTTTACCCACGGGGGCATCCCAGCCTCCTGGTGTCACGCACACATTCAGTGGGCTTGTGGGAAGGGCACTTGGAATCCTGGTCTCCCACCTGGTCACCTCACTGGGTCTTTGCCTGGCTTTTCCTCCTCTGTCTCAGGCCATCTCCTAATCAGCTCCCCCACAGCAGCTCCTGAGCACTTGGTTGTGTACCTCATGTCTGTCCCTTCCCTACTGGAGTCTGTAGCGCCATTGGTGGCCTGATCCCATTACGGGGTGCTGGCTGAATGAATGGCAGTGAACGCATGGCTGAGGTGAGGACCCTGGGGTGGAGAGCCCTGAGGTGTGGCCCCCTGGTTTATTGGCCCAGTGTCCTCTGACCCTGGCCTGGGAGTCCTAGGAAGGCGCTGAGACATAGATCTGCCCTCAGGAGGCCCAGAGTACAGTGGGAGGGGTGGCCAGGCCTCCAGAGCCCTGGGACGCCAAGGCTACGAGCAGCCAGGATAGGCTCCCTGGAGCAGGGTCACAGGCAGGTGCGTCTCAGCCTTTGGCCCCCAGATACTCCGCACAGGGTCAGCCTTCAGGTTTGGTGACTTTCTAGTGGCTGCTGATAACGAAGGCGGTGTGCCTGTACCCCCAGCCCACTCTACACAGCAGGGTCTATGCAGCAGGGATGTCACCATTGCCGGGCCCCCCAGATGCATTAATCCTCTCTTTGTTTTAAGCCAGTTCTGGCGATTCATTCACAAGGTCAAGTTTGACAACACGTTCTCCCCGGTTCTGGGAGGGAGGCTCTGAATGGTCACACCAGCTGTTCATGGTGCTATGGTGGCATTTGGACCTCGCCATTCATCTGGAGCTCCCACCCTGACCCCTGGCCTCTGTGCTGCACAGAGAAGGTGCAGTGCTGGTTGCTGGGCAGAGTCCAGGCAGGGGGTCCCTGGGGTGGGCTGTGGTGGCCAGAGCCATGGGCAGGGCAGGTGCAGGGCGGGCAGGTGGAGCGGCTGACCCAGGGATGTGCACACTTTGGTCCAGGAGGGGCTTTGGGCAGACGGATTTGGAGCTGCAGTCCAGCCCAGGAGGAGGCTGGGCCTTCCACCTTAAGCGCCATCACCTAGCTGTTGTGGGGAGAGACGCTGAGACACCCCTTCCATCCTCCACATCTCTGCTCCCGGCTCCGTTCCCTCAGACACTCAGGGCCTGATGGCACAACCCTGGCTGCAGCTGTGACATAAAGCTGACTCTGGATGCTTTGACTGCTTCCGGTCCCCCTGCTCCAGGCCTTGGGAAGCTTCAAGGACTGACACAGGCTCACAGCAGCAGTCACGTCCACCAGGCAGGGGAGCTGGATGCGAGGGAGGAGAGGAAGGGCAGGCTGAGGGGGGACCCTTCTCCTAGCAGAGGACAGGCCATGGGGACAAGCTGGAGTCCTGGTGTCCACCTGGACCCTTTTTCTCCCTCTCCCTAGCACCCCAGCGTTGCTCACCAGCCCAGCTGACCGCAGCACCGGGCTCCGAGTTCTTGTGTATTCCTGCCTCCACCCGGTGCAGGCTGCATCCCCAGTACCATGTCCCCTGGCCTGGGTCCCCTGTCTCTGGGACCCTGAGCACCTGCAGGCAAGGCTGGAACACTGGCTTCTTGCTCTGCCCCGCAGCCCCTCCCCAGCCACGGTCAGCCCTGGGCCCTGCAGCCCCTCTGTCCACCTTTTCCTGAGGGTCTCTGAAGGGCAGCTGAGGCGGGCAGCCCATGAGAGGTCAGGGAGCTCTGAGCCCAGTGACCACTGTGAGCGAGCACCAGCTTGCCTGCCTCTGTGGCCAGGTCCTGGACCCTCGGCCTTGTTTGGGGCCGGCGGACAGAGGGCCGGGGAGCCTTCCCGCTCCTCCCGCTTTCCTGGAAGGACCAGTGCCCGCGTTCCTGGCTCTCTGTGGGCAGGCGCCGTCCAGGGAGAGGGCGGGCAAGTCCAGAGCGCCTGGAGCCTGGGGGAGAGCCGAGTGCACGGAGGGGGAGTGGGGCGTGCTGGGGTCCAGGGGGTCCTGGGAATGGTTCTTGTGTGTGTGTGTGTGTGTGTGTGTGTGTGTGTGTGTGTGCTGGGGATCGAGCCCTGGGGCACTTTACCACTGAGCAACACCCCAGCCGTTTTTATTTTTTATTTTGAGACGGGGTCTCACAAAGTTGCTGAGGCTAATCTTGAACTTGGGATCCTCCTGCCTCAGTCTTCCGAGTGTCTGGGATTACAGGCGTGTGCCAGGCCCCGTGCCCCACCTGGGAGGTGTTCTTGACAGCAGTGTCCCCCTCCTGTGGTGTTCTGAGGATGAAGTGCTGTGTTCAGGAACTCTTCATTCATGACCCGCTGAGTAAAAGCTTCCCAAGATGCAGGCTGGTGGGGGAGCTCAGTGGTCGACAGCTGGCCTGGCCCTGGCGTGTGCGAGGCTCTGGGCTCCATCCCTGGCCCTGGAAGATAATTCTCCAAATGAAACAGCAAAGGGGCAGTGGGAGGCTGGAGAGGAGAGGGTGGGGACGGGTGAGGTGATGGCCGGATTGCGGCTGGCCTGGTGTGCTCTGAGGGCTAGGGCTGGGGCAGGGTTTTCACAGGACCCCAGAAGATCCCATGCCCTTTTCTCTTTTATTGAGGTGCAATTCACATAACACAAAAATGATGATTTTTTTCCCATGAAATCCACGAAAAAAATGCCTGGGATGGAACCCAGGGCTCCACACGTGCTGGGCGAGCGCTCCGCCACTGAGCCCCACCCAGCCCCAGACTGGGGTAGCGTGGACACCTCACTGGCATTGGGCTTCCACTGCATGGCCTCCATCTCATTCCAGAATGTCTCATCACCAGGTGGAGGCGCCTCGAAGCACTGAGCATTGGTGTCTCCTTCCCGCCCCATGGGCTCCCCGTCTGCTCTCCGTCTCTGTGCTGGGCGCTTCCTGGGGGAATCATGGCTTCACACTCTGTGGCCTCTGTGTCTGGCGCCTTTGACTTGGCGTCGTGTTTTTGAGGTCCTTTTGTGTGTACCAGGACTTCAAGGCCCGTGAGCCACGTCACCCCCTCTCTGTTCTCCCCCCAGCATGGCTGATAAGAATGGGGCCCTCAAGTGCACCTTCTCGGCACCTGGCCACAGCACCAGCCTCCTGCAGGGCCTGGCCACCCTCCGTGCCCAGGGCCAGCTCCTGGACGTGGTGTTGACCATCAACAGAGAGGTCTTTCATGCGCACAAGGTGGTCCTGGCTGCCTGCAGCGATTACTTCAGGTGAGTGCGGGCCCTGGGAACTTGGAGGGGGGACAGGGTGACAGCAGCCACCTTCTAAGCATGGGGCCCATCTCAGCACCAGCCAGAAATGGCTGTGAGGGAGCATGGCTGGTGTCGGCTTGGAGAGACGCCCCCTGCCTACTAACCCTGCCCGCTTCTCCTTGGCTCTCATTCCTCTGGGGCTCAGCATGCTTGGGAGTCTGGGGCACCTGCTTCACGGCCTCCGCCCTGGCAGGGTCCCTGCTCAGCCAGGCTTGCTTTCTTGTTTCCATCCTGGGACTGAACCCAGAGGTGCTTAACCACCGAGCCACGTCCCCAGTCCTATTTTTAAAATATTGTATTTAGTGATGCGTCTCTCTGACTTGCTTAGGGCCTCACTGAGTTGCCGAAGCTGGCTTTGAACTCACCCTCCTCCTGCCTCAGCCTCCCAAGCTGCTAGGATTACAGGCGTGCGCCACTGCGCCCTGCTAGGCCAGGCTTTCAGTCCAAGTCTTCATTGGACAATTGCCCTATGCCAGGTGCTGATCTAGGCCTCGTGGATCTAGCAGGTACAAAATGGGACCAGGTCCCTGCCTCCATGACACCCCCACTCACACCTAAAGCAGAAGAGCTGGGGGACTGGAGGGGCCCCAGCAGCCCTCATGTCTTGCTGACCCCATGTGTTGGGGTCTGGATGAGGCTCTTCTGTGCCCTGCGTGGTGGGTGCTTCCTCCGTGCAGTAGCCAAAACCTTGGTGGGCATGTGGCTCTGTCCTTCCCTGTGCCGTGGCTGGGCCAGAAGAGACGGCCCCTTGGAGCTACATGGGCAGGGAGGTTCCTCTTCCCTATTGGGGGCTGTCATGGGGCTAGAGATGGTCTCCCTGTTCCCTTGGGGACAAGCGGGTGAGCCTCCTAGCTGCCAGACTGAGCTGGGCGGCCCTGGGAGCCGCTCCTGGGCTCACTTCAGCCCAGGTGTGTCTGGAGCCACACATCCCCACGCCCCGCCGCCTGCCCGGTGGCTCAGCAAGGCCATTGTGGGGAGCCACAGCCGCCAAGCCAACTGGGGCGCCGTTTCTATTTTTACTCTGGATTTGGGGACGGGTGGGCCAGCCCAGCCAGCAATGCCCTTTAAAGGCTCCCCCGCGCTGGCACTGCAGCCGCAAGACCTTAAAAGGCAAAACTTCCCGTCGCCTGTGACAGCCTCAGTCTTCCTCACGATGCCCCAGGGCTGGCGGGGACTCCAGGGGACAGGCCTGGGAGCTGGTGCTCACTGCTCCTAAGAAGCCTTGGGTGCTGGGCAGCTTGCTGGGCAGTGGTTAGCTGGTGGCACCTCACAGCTGTCCTCTTGCTGTGGTCCCAAGCCTGGCCCACACAGGTGCCACTAGGGCACAAACATCTAAGGGGCAGAGACGAGCAGAGTTCCCCTCCCCTCAGGGCCCATCGGGACGGTACCCTGGTGTGGAATGCCAGCCTGCCCCGAGGGACCTGCCCACGTACTGAGCAAGCCCTGGGTGGGCACTGGGGTGGGGGAGGCTTTGAGCCCCAGGTTTCCCCAGTGTCCTCCTGCCCGGGCCTGTGTCCCTTTCCCAGCTCTCTCTCAGGTTGGCTCCCGCCTCTCAGAGCAGAGCAGCGGGTCACAGAGCTGGGGTCCCTAGCTTGGAGTCTCACATTGGGCTGGGGACTCTGGACTATGCTTGGAGCAGGGAGGTACTTCTGTGTTCCTGGGCTCTCTCTGGAGACAGCAGCGGCCCCCTGCATGGCCTCCAGTAGTTGTCCCATTCCAGGGGACCCTTGTTGGTGGTCGCCCGGGCCCGGGCTGGGGAGCTGGAGCTGCTCGCAAAGGCAGTGAGCAGCCAGGGACTGGGCTTTGCAGACCGTGGCAGGACACCTGTGCCTCGCTTGTGTCCTGAGCTTAGGTGGCTTTTCCCTTGGAGCCTTTGCTCCTCTGAGTCAGCTGGGCTCCAGCAAGTCGCTTGTTGGGTGAGGCTGACCTGGGCCGCCGCTCCTGCAGCTCTGAGCCAGGGCCAGGATCTAAACTAAGGGCTTGGGCAGTGCCCCCTGCAGGGGCCGCTGGGAGTCACTGTTTCTGGAAGGAGGCACCACTGGGGTGGTCTCAAACTCTTTTTTTTTTTTTTTTTTTTTGGTACCAGGGATTGAGCTCAGGGGCACTGGACCACTGAGCCACACCCCGAGCCCTGTTTTGTATTTTATTTAGAGATGGGGTCTCACTGAGTTGCTTAGGGCTTCACATTTGCTGAGGGTGGCTTTGAACTTGCCATCCTCCTGCCTCAGCCTCCCAAGCTGCTGGGATTATAGGCGTTTGCCACGGTGCCCGGCAAAACCCTTTCTTTCCTTGTTTGTTCTTCCTGAGAGTCCAGCTCCACTGTCTTGCTGGCTGCGCCCTGCGTTCCTGTCCCTCTGCCAGACTGTTGCTGGTGGAGAGGGCTTCCCTTGGCCACCCCCAGCCCATACTGTGTTTCCATCCCTCAGGGCTATGTTCACGGGAGGCATGAGGGAGGCCAGCCAGGATGTCATTGAGCTGAAAGGCGTGTCTGCCCGCGGCCTGCGACACATCATCGACTTCGCCTACAGCGCCGAGGTGACCCTGGACCTCGACTGCGTGCAGGACGTGCTGGGCGCCGCGGTGTTCCTGCAGATGCTGCCGGTGGTGGAGCTGTGCGAGGAGTTCCTCAAGGCCGCCATGAGCGTGGAGACCTGCCTCAACATCGGCCAGATGGCCACCACCTTCAGCCTGGCCTCGCTCAGGGAGTCTGTGGACGCCTTCACCTTCCGCCACTTCCTGCAGATCGCCGAGGAGGAAGACTTCCTGCGCCTGCCCCTGGAGCGCCTGGTCTTCTTCCTGCAGAGCAACCGGCTGCAGAGCTGCTCCGAGATCGACCTGTTCCGAGCCGCCGTCCGCTGGCTGCAGCATGACCCGGCCCGGCGGCCGCGCGCCAGCCACGTGCTGTGCCACATCCGCTTCCCGCTCATGCAGTCGTCGGAGCTGGTGGACAGCGTGCAGACGCTGGACATCATGGTGGAGGACGTGCTCTGCCGCCAGTACCTGCTGGAGGCCTTCAACTACCAGGTGCTGCCCTTCCGTCAGCACGAGATGCAGTCTCCACGCACCGCCGTGCGCTCCGACGTCCCCTCCCTGGTCACCTTCGGTGGCACCCCCTACACTGACAGTGACCGGTCCGTCAGCAGCAAGGTGTACCAGCTGCCCGAGCCAGGCGCCCGGCACTTCCGCGAGCTCACGGAGATGGAGGTGGGCTGCAGCCACACGTGCGTGGCCGTGCTGGACAACTTCGTGTACGTGGCCGGGGGCCAGCACCTGCAGTACCGCAGCGGCGAGGGCGCCGTGGACGCCTGCTACCGCTACGACCCGCACCTGAACCGCTGGCTGCGCCTGCAGGCCATGCAGGAGAGCCGCATCCAGTTCCAGCTCAACGTGCTGTGCGGCATGGTGTACGCCACGGGCGGCCGCAACCGCGCCGGCAGCCTGGCCTCGGTGGAGAGGTACTGCCCCCGGCGCAACGAGTGGGGCTACGCCTGCTCGCTCAAGCGCCGCACCTGGGGCCACGCTGGGGCCTCTTCTGGGGGCCGCCTCTACATCTCGGGGGGCTACGGCATCTCGGTGGAGGACAAGAAGGCGCTGCACTGCTACGATCCCGTGGCCGACCAGTGGGAGTTCAAAGCACCCATGAGCGAGCCCCGGGTGCTCCACGCCATGGTGGGCGCTGGTGGCCGCATCTATGCCCTTGGTGGCCGCATGGACCACGTGGATCGCTGCTTCGATGTGCTGGCTGTGGAGTACTACGTGCCCGAGACGGACCAGTGGACCAGCGTGACCCCCATGCGGGCTGGCCAGTCGGAGGCCGGCTGCTGCCTGCTGGAGAGGAAGATCTATATCGTGGGGGGCTACAACTGGCGCCTCAACAACGTGACGGGCATCGTGCAGGTGTACAACACGGAGACGGACCAGTGGGAGCGGGACCTGCACTTCCCAGAGTCCTTTGCAGGCATCGCCTGCGCCCCTGTCCTGCTGCCGCGCGCCGGGGGCAGGAGGTAGTTCCTTGGACTCCTGGGATCCTGGCCCAGCTGCATGTGGTCTCCCAGCCTGCCTGGCAGGCACAGCTGGGCAGGGAACCTCAGGCACCCCCCAGCACTGGCCTCCAGAGGCCTGCTGAGCCGAGGGGCTGGGCACCCTCCTGAGGTAGATCCTGGCTCTGAGTCCAGCCCAGGGGCCCAGCCCCAAAGGCCACCACATCATGGCACCAAGCTCATGCCCCAGGTGGTTCCCTCACCCAGCCTGCAAGTCCTGCTATGGGGGGCAGCCGGGCTCCTCCTGGTGTCATTGTGTGGCTCTGCTTCCCTTCCCTCCCGTCCCTACCCAGCTCTGCCTGCCTGTGGTTCAGATGCTCAGACGTGAGCCCATGAACACCGAATGCCAGGCCCCTGGGATGCACCTCCCCGCCCTCCTGAGTCGCCCAAAGCCTCCCTAACGTGGGTGCTCTCAGGGCAGGAGAGGCAGCTCCAGAGCCCCTGGGTTGGGCTGATGGATGGGGAGGGCCTCTCTGCTTCCCCAGATGTGCTTGCCCAACCTGTTCAGCCTGAGCTGCCGCGAGGCCTCTGCCTGCGTCCCCCTGCCTGTCCTGGGCCCCTGCACCTTAAGGGCCCCTGCTCGTCTGCTTGCAGGAGAAACCACAGCTGACTCCCGGAGGCAGCCCTGAGGGCGCTGGGCCCTCCATTTGGCGCTGAGCATCACCCAGGGCCTGAACGAGGGTGGCCGGCCAAGATGCCCCATCTGCCGCCTTGGCTCTGGGTGGCCAGGCTGTCCCTTCCCACGGTGGAGAGGACAGCAGCCCAGGCTCCAGAGTGCTTCTGCATCCTGCAGGGCTGTGGACAATTTTGATTCCCCTCCCTCAGCCCAGCCCAGCCCTGGTTTTAGGTCAATGCACCACCAAGCCTGAGGCCACCCTTGGGCGGGCGCTGGGGCTGCTCCTTCAAGGGCTTTGCGGTATCTCTGGCCACATTTGTTTTGGTGTCTAACCCTCTAAACGTCTTCTTTTTGTTTTGTTTTACTGTTCTTTTTTTTTTTTTTTTTTTTTAGAAGCCAGCACTGCTGTCTTCTAAGTGAGGTTCATACTCTAGGGACAACTTAAAGTGTCTCTTCTGCTGCTAACAGAGGATGGATGTCGAGTTTTGTGACCCGCTCACGGTGTAAAGGATTAACCTCATACCTCAGCCGCCGTCCTTCCCTAATGTCTCCCTTTATTTAATAAAAATGTTATGGTGAAAAGATGGAGCGGCCCTCTCTGAGCCTGTGCAGCTTGGGCCTGATTGGTCCCAGATTCTGCTGCGTGTGTCCTCCGTGAGTTTGGGGCTCCTCTCCCCTGCCCCAGCCTTTCCCTCATTGCCAGGAGCTAGGGGCGGGGGGCTGGGTCTTGGTTCAGGGGGACAGGGACAATGGGAAGTTCTGTTAGGACATCCACCTGGGCCCAGGGTGGGGCAGCCTTGGAGGGAGGCTCTGAGGAGAGTCTTTCCAGTTTCCTGGCCCCTGCCGCCAGGCAGCAGCCCCCTCCCCGCAGGTCCCGTCCTCCCATCTGCGTAGTCTCAGGGACCAAGGCAGATCAGGCAGCCTGGGAGCCCCTCTCCCCAGGGACGTGCTGGGGGAGACACAGACAGGTCCTACAGGAAGCGTGACGTCATCGTTCCTCCATATGGGCCTGAGAGCGCCTCCAAGAGCCCCACACCCCAGGCCCTGCCAGGCACCCGGCTACACAGAGCAGACCACTGGGGGCTGCCGGCTGGTGGCAAATGCCTGACATCCTGGACAGACTTCCAAGAAGGGGTGGCACTGGGATCATTCTGCAATCGCAGGTCTGTGTGAGTGGCCTCCCCCGATGCCCCAGCACCCCTGTGCAGCTGCCCTGGGCCCCGGGGGGGAGGCTGGAGGCGGAGCAGTGCTGAGACGGGAACTTGGTTGGGAACCTGGAAGGAGCCCACGCTGCCAGGGGCATCAAACCAAAGCCGCTGTCCCAGGGGACTCCTCAGAACATTCCCGCCCCACCCCCGACCCAGCTCCCCAAAGAGAGCGCCTCGCCGTTGGAGGCACAGCCCCTTCAGGGGGTAGGGAGAAGCCTTTGCCAGCTGCAAGTCCCCCAGATCAGCTCACACCTCAGAACATCTTGTCCCCAATGAGCTGGCAGGGGTGCCGGCCGCGGGAGGGGGCGCTGCCGTATCTAACCCGGTCGATTGTGCAGAACCGTCTGAGCCGGTTCATGGAATGTTCTCCGGGGCCCCCTGCCCCTCCCTCGGCCCCCATCCTACCCCCGGAAGAAAGGAAAATTATTTTTTGTATTGTAAACTTTAAACACGAAAAAGCTGTTTTTAATTTAGCAGAAACTGGCTCGAATCTTCACTTTGTGAACGTTTGTGTCCTTCAGAGAGAGGCGGAGCACGCCTGCGCACACCCGCGCTTGCACACCCTCACCGGCACACCTGCCTGCATGCACCGTGGCCCTCACACTCCTGTGGTCCTGCTGTGCACACGGGTGTGCTTGCTCTGGCTCACGCCCTCTGTGACACCTCGCATCCTCGCTCACATGTGCTTAGACGCGAGCTCACAGGCACAAGTTCACAAGTTTGGGCCCTTGGACCCCCCTCCCCCCACCTGGTGTCCCAAAGGGACCTGGAGCCCTGCACCTCCCTGGCCCTGGGCTTCCAGACGTGCTGCTTCCTGGCTGCGGCCTGGACGTGGACTGGAGCCTCCCTCCACACCTGGTTTAGGCTGTGGGAAAACATTCTCCTGAGACGGCGGAGGCAGGCCGGCCAGAGGGAGGCCAAGTGTGACTTCTGGGACCTCGCAACAAATGAGGGCCAAGGGGGCCTCTGGGGAGCCCTGTGAGGTGGGAATCCATCCTGGACCTGGCCAGCTTGGAAACCCGCCCCTGGCTCTGTCTCCAAGAAACAGACTCCAGCTTCTTGTTTCTCACGGGCCCTGGAGATTGGCTCTGCACAGTGGAGCCTCCGGACCCTGCCTCACAGCAGCTCCGCACCCAGCGAGGCTCAGACACAGAGAGGGCGTGGCCCAGGGAGCGGAGCACAGGGGAGAGGCCCTGGGGTGAGAAGGCCAGAGCAAAAGCCTCCATCACCCCAGCATTTGTGGGCACCACTTGTGCTTGGGCCTCCCGGGTCAAGAAGAACTGGCGGGGGGCTGTTTAAGGCCCCCAGCTTAGTTCTTGTCTGCCTGTCATTCTCATGGCCTATCCTGCTGGTGGCCAACCCAGCAGCCGTAACTCACCAACAAAACCCTGATATGGTGCCAGTAGCAACGTGCCCAGCCTCAGGGGTTGATTTAAGATTCAGCTGAGCCATTCTTGGCAATGCTTTTTACTGGGGTTGTTTTCAATCCGGGCATGTTTCCCAGCTCTGGCCAGAAAGTTTTAAGGGGTTGGATGTTTCTGGACAAGGGAGAGACCTTGTTGCCCCCTCCCTTTCCTTACTGCTTCATATGTGGATGCAATGCCAGGAACTTCTGCAGCCATCTTGTGGCCATGAGGAGCAAGTTAAGAGATGCTTTTTGGGGCTGGGGTTGTGGCTCAGTGGTAGAGTGCTTGCCTCACATGTGTGAGGCACTGGGTTCAATTCTCAGGACCACATATAAATAAGTGACTAAAATAAAGGTCCATTACAACTAAATATATATATATATATATATATATATATATATATATAGAGAGAGAGAGAGAGAGAGAGAGAGATATGCTTTCTCCCAGATCCCTGAATCACACACAGGGTCACCAGTGCTATCATGGCTCTTCTGACCTCTAGATTCCTTGTTATGAGAAATACTATCTGTACTATTTAAGACACTCACAGTCAGATATTCTGATACTTGCAACAAAACAGTTTCAAATTTATAATATAAAATGTGACAGAGGCTAGAGTTTCTCATAGTAAGTGAGTCAGGGTTTTTACTTGTAAGCAACAGAAGCTGATGGGGGCCAATTTAAGCAGTGGAAGTACACGTTAGAAAACTGACAGGGCTGGGGGTGGAGCTCAGTGGCAAAGCACTTGCCCAGATCACATGAGACCCTGGGTTCAACCCCCAGCACTGCCAGAAACCAAAAGAGAAGAGTGTAGCTCACAGAAGCCGCAGGACAGTGATTTCAGCTGAGGGTAAAATAATGTCAGGGGCCAGGGCAGGGTGGTGATGATGCTCCTGCCACCACTGCCGAATCCAGATGCTCCATTGGCATTCAGCCATCATGGCCCCTGGAACCACTACAGAACTGGATGGCCCTGCCCTGACACTGTTTCTTTGCACCACTTGTCCCTGAATGGAAGTGTCCTGCTAGCCCAGCGCTCATCTTAGGCCAACATCCCAGGCACTTGGGGAGTAGAGACAGTAAGAATGTGAGTGTATCTGTCAGCTACTGCTGCGTAGTGAACAAGCCCATCTCAATAGCACTCAATGAGTGTTTGTTTTTCAAGTCTGAAGTGAGCCTTAGGGTGCTCCTGCTGGGCTAGCCTAGGCTGGGCAGCTCTGCTTCCACATGCAAGGCCAGGGTGGGCAGAGGCTCTTGCTTCCAGGTCTCACATTCTCCGGGGACCAGCGGCTAGCCACAGCACGGTCTCCTCCTCCTCCCGAGGACAAGTGGGATCCCCTGAGGCCTTCTAATTCTAGACTTGAGACTTAGATGCAATTGCACCTTCCCGTGTCTTTAGCCAAGTAAATCACCTGGCTGAGCTGAGGAGGAGGAGTGGGGAAGTTTCCTCCATCTGCAAGAGCTGCCAAGTCCCATGGCCGAGGACACGGTCTCAGGAATGAGTGGGGGAATCGGGGCCCACAATTCCATTAATCGCCATTGCCCTGGGGGCGTCCTTTACAGAGGGCTGACTCCCCAAGTTTGAACAGGAACCCAGACGTGGACAACCAGAAAGGGAAGCCAGCCCTCCTCTGCCGCACCTTGGCCCCTGGAGGCAGGGAGGGGGGGCCTCTTGATTTTTATCGGGTGGGCGTGGTGGTGGGTGTCCTGGGCCTCGGGAGGATCTGGATGGCGGGGCCAGCTGAGGCTCAGCTGGGTTCAGGCGGAGGCCTTGTGGGTGCTATTGGTAGCCCATCCCGGATGCCCCTTCACGGAGCCTTTGGGGCCCCTCGGAGGTGACCCCCGAGTCCCGCCCACTGAGCTCCAGCCCTTGCTGCCCTCTGTGGTGACCCCACCTTGTTTCACCTCCTGCTCCACCTGGAGCCCGGGCTGGAGAGCAAGGGCCTGGTTCTCACCCCACACGTGTTCTGCCATGAGGTCTGCACATTTGTTTGTTCATTTTTTTTTTAATTTTAGTTTGAGGTGGACACAATATCTTTATTTTATTTATATGTGGTGCTGAGCACTGAACCCAGTGCCTCACGCATGGTAGGTGAGCGCTCTACCTCTGAGCCACAACCCCAACCCGGTTTTTTCTTTCTTTTTCTTTTTGTGTGGGGATTGAACCCAGGGGCATTCGACCACATTCCCAGCCTTGTGTATTTTATTTAGAGACAGGGGCTCACTGAGTTGCTCAACGCCTTGCTTTTGCTGAAGCCTCAGGCTTTGAACTTGCGATCCTCCTGCCTCAGCCTCCCCAGCGCTGGGATTACAGGTGTGCGCCACCGCGCCCGGAACAGTTTTTTCCTTTTTCTTTTTCTTTTTGTCTTTGCTGAGCTGGGTCTGGAACCAGGGCCCCACACGAGCTAGGCAAACGCTCTACCACTGAGTCACATCTCTGGCCCCGTGTCTGAATTTTTTGTCTTCTGTTGGGACCTTACCTCTTTCTCCATGATCAGACCTGATCCCTTTCTTGTGTCACCTCTTTCTTTTTGTTTTTGGCGGCACTGGGGATGGAGCCCAGGGCCTTGAACGTGCTAGGCAGGTGCACACAGCCCCGGGTTACCCTCTTACAACTCTCTGACAGTAGCCTGCTTTGGAAGTCAGAACCGGGCCCTGGATGGTTTTCCTTTTTGCCTCCCAGTTCCAACGGCCCTAATTCACCTCGACACAGTGTGGTACCCCAAATAGACTAAGATCCCATATAAGGAAGAGCAAGAAAGCAAAGCGTAAACCAACATCTTCAAGAAGCGTTTTGCTTCCCTGGCAGTTAGTGCCCATGATGAAGCGGGCGCTGGGCTAAGTGCTTTCGTGCGTTATCTGTTTAATCTTCCCCAGAGTCTGGTATGAAGAGTGCCATTATCCACATTTAACTGGGGAGGATAGTGAGGCTCAGAGAGGTGATGACACTTTCCCATTGTCACACATCTGGACAATCAACAAAGCTCGGACTGCAAGCTCTCAGGAGTTTAGGTTTTTATTTAACTATGTTGAGAGGCTTGCTGTGGCCCGGATGCAGAGGGGAAAGGTGTTCCTCCACTGGGGGAGGGTTGATGGGGAAGGTGGAGTTGATGGGGAAGGAATGGAGCCAGGTAGAGTTAGGAAGCTGAGGAGAGAGAACTAGATTTGGGAGGCAGTGGGAAGTGGTTTATGAAATGTGCTTCATAACTCAAGCAAAGCTCTTCAGCAACTGATTAGCTGAAGAGTGACCCAGGGCAGGTCGGCCCTAGAGGGAGGGACTCCAATCTCTTTGGGGATCAGATAGGTTTTCTAAAACACAGAACACTGGAGGTGTTGTTTTTTTTTTTGTTTGTTTTGTTTTTTTTTTTTTTTTTTTTTTACTTTTTATTTGTAGTTGGACACAACACCTTTATTTTACTTATTTATTTTTATGTGGTGCTGAGGATCGAACTCAGGGCTTTGCCTGTGCTAGGCAAGCACTCAACCACTGAGCCACAACCCCAGCCCTGGAGGTGGGTTTTGATGGATGAATAGGAGATTCCCAGGGAGAAAATCATTCAGCAGACACTCTGTGCCCCACCTTGTGCCTAGTACAGTGTCAGCTCTGGGTTCCTAGGGAAACAGAGTGAACACAGGTAAGTCTAAAATGAGGGCCAAAGTTCTCAGACTTTCAGGGAATAATAACCGAGCCTTAAAAATAAAGAATCGTGAGCTGGGCGCGGTGGCACAGGCCTGTAATCCCAGCGGTTCAGGAGGCTGAGGCAAGTTCAAGGCCAGCCTCAGCAATTTACTGAGGCCCTAAGCAACTCAGCGAGACCCTCTCTCTAAATAAAAATATAAAAAGGGCTGGGGATTTAGCTCAATGGGTAGAGTACTTGTCTCACATGCCCAAGGCCATGGGTTCAATCCCAGCACCAGAAAAATCAATCAATCAATCAATCTAGAAATTAAGAAAAAAAAAAAAAAAGGAATGGCGTGTGTCGGTGCCCTCGGAGTCCGGGTGTACCCTCTGATCTCAGCTCAGTGAGTGGGAAAGCAGACAGGGCCCCAGAAACAGCTGCCTTTGAACAGCTGGGTCACGGGTCCAGACTCTGGGGTCACTTCCAACAGTCCTTTAAGGAGGGTATCTCAGAAGAAAAGTGAGCAGGTGCCCGCCATGGAAGGATCTGGGGGCAGCAGTCCAGGCAGAGGGAGCAGCACAGGGGAAGAGGACAGGGTGGGGGGGGTCAAGGGCGCACAGGCCTTTGGGGGCTCCGGACTGGAACTGGTTGGCTGGGCAGCAGTGACTTCTTTTGATGAAGGTGGGAGTGAAGACCTCAGGATGGGTCCTGGGTGGGGGGGTAGCCCTCCTCCTGCCCCGGGGTCAAGGGAGCAGGAGGAGGGCTTGGGTCACTGTCTGGCCATTGTGCAATAAGCAGCCGGGAGCTTCCTCTGACTCATCTCCAGGGTTTGGGAAGGATCAAATTACATGCCCAGCTTGGGGTGAATGGGGGTGAGCAGGGTGAGCTTTGGCCTGGGTCTTGAATGTGGGGGCGTGGCCCCTTGTTGATATCCAGCAACCTCTGCTGCCTCCCAAATCGTTCCTCCTCCATCTTTCTGGGTCGAGAAACTGGCTTCCTGCTGATGCATGTGAGTGACTAGGGTAACGGATATTTAATACGCACTTATGAGCCAAACAGGTGACATGCATTAACTTCATTTAAACCTTACAAAACCTGGGATGAGGAAGGAAGCTGAGCTCTACTTACTGTCAGGACAGATTCTAGCCCTGGTTCCCATGCTGAACTTGCTCTGGGAAGCTGCTGTCCCTGTCCCAGCTCCATTTCTATTTCATCTCTGACCTCAAGTGACGATAACAAGAACTAGATGCCACATTTAGAGCATGCTGCCTTGCACCTGACGCATAGAAGCTGCAGTTGCATCTGTGCCAGGGATAGAAAAATGGACTTTAAATCACTTTAAGCAAAAAAGGGAATACATTTTTGGCTCATATAACTGAAAAGGTTTTGTTTCTGTTATCCTCTTGGTTCTGTTATCCTTTTGGTTCTGTTATCCTCTCTGCATGGGCCCACCCTCTTCATACGGTGATCTCTGGCACTGAAGACCTGTACTAGTCTTGGGGGAGGGTTGTCTTCATTTTCCAGGGTTCAAACAAAAATTCCATAATTACATTGCACTGTCTGGTCTGAGCCAAGCATTATGGCCAGAGCAAGGGGCTGTGCTGATTGGCCAAAACTTCCATCTTCGGGAGACATGTCTTAGGGAGGAAGAGCAGTGAGGACAGCCCCATGCACACCTCAGATGCTGAAAGTCTGACTGGGTTTCCCAGAAGGATCACTGTTGATGTCATCAAGGATGGGGAAGGGTGGTTTGGCAAAAAGAGGTGAAGTCTATGAAATGCTCAAAATCATATGAACATGAAAGAAAAACAGGGCAGCAGCAAAGGCCTGAGCCATTCCAAATGCAAATCTATGTATATAAATGTATTTAATATGGACATTTTATCGACCCATTGTAAAGAGCAAATAAAAGCACTCTTGGAAAGTGTTGGCGTCTCCCCATAATCAGCATTCCCTCTGTCATCTCTCTCTAGTACAAATGTGCTTGTTGTCCAAAGCCTCCCCAAATCCTTCTGGTCGCTCCTCCTGGCTTCCTCTCTGAAGTCCCTGATCCTCCTGAATATGATTTTCAATATGGTGGCTGAGGTCCTTTTGATTCGGGAGGGATAGTTAGATGGCAGAGCAACTCCTGCTTCTCTAGGTCACCCCTGCTGCCATTGGTGAGACTCTGTCCCCAACTTCTACTGTCAGGTCTAGGTGGAATTTCTTAGATCCTTCTGTTAACACTCCATGGCAAAGCAGAAATCCTTGAACAGGACCAAAGTGGAGAAATACACAGAGGAGGCTGAAGTTTCATAATTTCAGTTTTTTGGGCTCATGAGTCCAGAACGGCTGGTTCAATGGGCGGGGGAAGGAAAAGAAAGGTGTTAAGGATGACCTCCAGGTATATGAACTGGGGCTGCTGGTGAGCTCAAGTCTCAGTTCAAATGTGCCCTGCTTCCCTGGCCCTGGTGGCTGTAGGAGCCTCTCCTTAGTGTGGCTCTCAAGCTGGCCTGTCACTGGTCTTATTTTTCCACACATTTATTTCCAGATGTTCTTGCTCGTGTCTTTGTGGGTTATTTTTGCTTCTCTCCCCAACCGTGCACCAAACGGCAGGGCTCACGTGCTTTTGTCCATGCTCAAACCCTAGTTTGCCTGGCACATAGTAGGTACTTCATAAAGAGTGAATGTCGTTGTCAGGTGGGGGTGACGTCCACCTATAGTCCCAGCAACTCATGAGGCAGAGACAGGAGAATGCCAAATTCCAGGACAGTCAAGAGCTAGACCCTCTCCCAAAATAAAAAAGAAAAAGGGTGGGGATGGCGTTCAGACGTGGAGTGCTTGTTTAGCATGCTTGAGCCTCTGGGTTCAAACCCCAGCACTCCAAAACCAGGGAAAAAAAGGAAATGAATGTAGTTGGAAAAAAAGGAAATGAATGTAGCTCTGAACTGGTCTCAGAGCTCTGGGTCCGAGTCCAGGCTTTGCCTCCAGGAGCCACCTGTCCCTGAGACGTGCCTAGTGCCACCCTTGTGAAACGCGAGTGCGTGGGTCAGGCTGACTCGCTCTGGGGGTCTCCAGCCCTACGGCCCATTTCTGGATCTTGCCCAATGGCCAGGCGGCCGCTGTCCAGCGAGTCAGGCAGCGGATCAGAGCGCCTGCGCCGAAATTCCCACTCTTTCCCTCTTCCTTCCCCGTGGGTCTGAAGCGCGCCGCCGAGGCGCGCGCATGCGCTATCGCCCCCGCGCCGCGCGTCTCTTTTCTGCGCCTGCGCCGCGCTCACGACCGCCTGCGCGCCTGCGCAGTGCTCACCGCCCGTGGGCCCGGCCGGCGCTTGCGCTGTGGCACGAGCGAGTGGGGGGGCGAGGAGGTGGAGGAGGAGGAGGAGGAGGAGGCGGCGGCGAGAAGATGGCGACTTCGAACAATCCGCGGAAATTCAGCGAGAAGATCGCCTTGCACAATCAGAAGCAGGCGGAGGAGACAGCGGCCTTCGAGGAGGTCATGAAGGACCTGAGCCTGACGCGCGCCGCGCGGGTAAGGGGGTGCCCGCGCCGACCCTTCGGGGCCGGGGGAGGAGAAAGGAGGGGGCGCGTGTCTGGCGCGTGCACGGGGCGGGGGGGCGCGCGGCGGGGGCGGGGCGCGCGTGGCGGAGGCGGGGCTTGGCACGGCCCGAGGGGGACAGGTGTCCCTGTGCCCCGGGCGTCGTGGGCGGGACGGGTACCCCCACATCCTAGAAACCTGAGGTGTGCAGGTGTCAACACATCATTGCTACTTTAGGAGGATAGGTGACACTACATCATTGTTACCTGGAGGGGACAGGGGCTCTACATCGTTACTACTAGGAGGGAACAGGTACCACTACATCAGTTGTTACCTGAGGGGGACGGATGCCGCCTATCATTACTACCTGGAGGGGACAGATGTCCCCGTGTCACTGCTACCTGGGGGGACAGGATGACGCTGAGGTGTAGGGGCTGAGTGCTGCTTGTCGGCATCATTTTTACCTGGGCGTTGGAGTACAGGTGCTCTCACAGCATTGCTACCTGAGGGGGAGAGGTGCCTCTACATCACGGTCACCTGTGCCCTTCTTGGGTGTTGGGGAGGGACAGACGTCCCCACTTGTGGACCTGGGGTGGGACAGGTATCTCTCATTCCTGAACAGGTGAGGGAAAGGTCAGATGCTCTCCCTCACGGGGTCCTGATGGGACCTAAGAAGGCAAATTGTGCTGAGTCCTGGAACTTTTGGGGACCAGGTGATGTTCTCCTAGGGGGACGGGGGCCCTTTCAGGATGAGGGTGGGAGGATAGGTCTGTCTCAGGTGGCTGGGTGCATGTGGCATCCAGGAGCAGGCCAGGTTCTGCCAGGCTCACTTGGGAAGCTGCCACGGGCTTGGAGCAGGGTGTGTTGGCTGTGGGGTCTGAAGCGGCTCTTCTCTTAGGCCCGTGATCATGGCCTTAGTTTCCTCCCAAGTGTGTCTAGCAAGATCTTCCTCGGGGGTCAAGGAGGAGAGCATGCTGTGCACAGGTGGCTGCAAATGTCTGCTGAGGTCCTTCAGTGGTGAGACCCCATCCTGCACTGTGGGATCTAAGAGGAGGTKGGTATGGGAGTTGCAGGCACCCACACCCCTGGTTTCTGGATTCGGCCACTTATCTGACTGGTGCAGGTGGACTTACCTCCATCTCAGATTCCTCAGGTGGAACTTTGGGGTCGTGTTCTTTTATAATTAGATGCTTGTTTCTCTCCAAGAAGGTGGCCTTGCAGGCTAGGATGTGTGTCTTCATTTCTGTGTACACATTTAGAGCAGATTGGTGCTATGTCGGCAGACATTGCAAGAGCCTGCTCAGGGAGCGGGCCCCGTCTGTTTCTCCTCTAGGATGTGGAGAAAGAGGTGGTTGGCAAACGAATGAATGAGTGGAAGAAGAAAGAAAGTGTGCCACTTGAGTGGCACCCACAGGTCAATTAACTGAAGCAGGAGTGTATGCGGCTTATCTCTAGCACATGGTGTCAAATGTTTGTAGTGTGACAGGAAGCAAGGGGTCATACTAGGTTTGTGGTGTCATCATGGTTGGAAGTTTGGTTTCTGCATGGGGCTGGAAATGGACTATTGTTGAAAAAATTTCTTTAACAGAACAGCTCCAGCCCGGCGCCTGGAATCCCAGTGGTTTGGGAGGCTGAGGCAGAAGGATTGAAAGTTCAAAGCCAGCCTCAGCAACTTAGCAAAATCCTGTCCCAAAATAAAAAATAAGAAGGGCTGGGGATGTAGTTCAGTGGTAAAGCACCCGAGTTCAGTGCCCTTGATTACAAAAAGAAAAAAAAAAGATAAAAATAGCAGCTTTATTGAAATATAATTCATATATCATACAATTTACTTGCTTAAAGTGAAAAAGTTCTGTGATTTTTGGTTAATTCATAGAGTTGTGTGACTGTGACCACTAATTCCAGATTATTTTCATTGCCCCAAAAGAAAACTGTGTCCCCATTAGCAGTCACAGCCCATTCTCCCCCTCCCCCCGCCTTTGGCAGCACTAATCTGCTTTCTGTCTGTGGATTTGCCCAATCTGGACATTTTGTATCAATGGAATCCTGCACTGTGTGGCTTTGTGTGTCTGGCTTTCGACAGGCATGCCCGACGTTTTCTGGGTCTATCTATGTTGTAACGTGTATCAGTGCTTTATTCTTTTTTATGGCTAAGTAATATTCCTATGATGGACACATCACATTTGTTTATCCATTCATTGGTTAGTGAATTTAGAAAAAATTTTTAGAGTATGCATTTGGTGGTTCTGTCCACACTGGTGTCCATTTTCCATCTCCCACCGTGCGCTCTGTTGCATTCTTTACATTGGGGGGGGGGGTGGCTGGACTCCAGGCTGAGGTACGTTTACAACAAACTTTTAGAGACAAAGCAATGTTTTCTACTAGTGGGGGGTGGCAGAATCAGGGGACACTTGGCAATATCTGGAGATGTTTTGATCATCCCGACTAAGGGAGGCTGTTGGCACTGGGGATGGAGGCCAGGGATGCTCTTGAGAGCCCTCAGTGGACAGCACACCCCACCCAGAGAGCAGTCTGGCTCCAGGTTTCCAAGGCGGAGAAGCCTCCCACTGGAGAGTGACCCGGAGGTGCTCAGGGTTCGAGCCTTGTACCCGACTGGGTAGAATTCAGTGCTGAGCGTGCAGCCGTGGGCTGTGCCGCCTGGGCAGGTGGGACCAGGGCGAGCAGGCACTCTGCCTGATGGCCATGGTGTGTCTGTGTGGCCTGTAGGTGAGTGGGCTCACCCGACACAGGTCCCCGCCTGCGCTCCTCGGTGGCCGGGTTGTGTCGAGCTCCTTCCTGCAGCAGACACCAGGGCTTCCCTCACACCTGTGGATGGACCCGAGTGGCCGGGTCAGCGCCTGCTCCTCCCGTGAGTCTAAGGACGGCCAGCCCCCTCCTGTGTGTGCTCCTGGCTCCCCGTGGCAATGGTGGGCTCGCCTGAGGTGCTTGCAGGCGGAGGAGGCTGATCTGCAGGGGTTTACCCGGATGAGTACGTCCCTGTCGGGGGACCCCAGGGTGTTGGGTGGAGGGACTGGTGTGGTGTGCAAGCCTGAGCTGGGTGAGCTGCTACCTTCCTTCCTGTGGGAGAGCTGTGGCGCTCTGCTGTGTGGCTTAGGGCAGGTTTCACAACCTTTCTGAGCCTCGAATCCAGACCTGTAAAGTTGGGGCAACTCGTTCATTTCACTTAGTGACAATTTTTATTGCCTAGTGTGTCCCAGGGACTGTGTTGGGTGTATGGTGACCCCGTGGTTTTCAAGGTCCACCAGGGCTGTGCTTTTGGGGAGCTGATGTGGATTTGGGGGGAGAAGAAGGAATCAAGTGAAGGAGGCTGTCACTGCAAGGGAGCGGTGTGCTGGGAGGGGACGGCTGGGGGCACGGAGGGCGACATAGGGTGCCCACTCAGAGGTGGGGGGCACAGCGGGCGTGGGTGGAGAGGGGAGGAGAGGTGGGTGCAAGGCCTGGATTTCACCCTGGGGACACAGCCCGCGAGGCTCAGCCGCGGCCCGTCTGTTGCTTATTCCTGTCACAGTTGGCCCTTCACGTCCCCGGTCTCAGTGTCCTCAGATTCCACCAACAGGGGATTGAAAATATTTGGAAAATGAAAATTGCATCTGAACCAAACGGGTCCAGACCTTTTCCCTGTCCTTGTTCCCACACAATACAGTACGGTGACTTTTCCCAGCAATTTCGTCGTGTCAGTGTCAGAAGTCATCGAGAGATGAGGGAGATTCTGCAGAAAGAAGTGCCTTGGCTCTATGCAAAGGCGACGCCGGTTCCTACCAGGGACTTGAGCATCTGTGGGTTTGGTTTCCTTTGGGAGCGTCCTGGATCCAGGCCCCTGGGATGCCAAGGGACTACTGTCCTTCTGCACAGCGTCGGGCCCACCTTGCGGTGGTGTGATCATATTCACAGTTGCACGCCCAGCATCGACTTCTGTGCCCCTAAAGGAAACCCCACCCCCACTAGCAGTCACTCTCCACTCCACTTCCCCAACCCCTGGCACCACTAATCGGCTTTTTGTCTCTCTGGATTTGCCTCTTTGGGACATTTCATATCAATGAAATCATACGCCATGTGGCCTTTGTGTCTGGCTTCTGTCACTCAGCACCGTGTTTTTGAAGTAGCAAAGATTGCTGCTTCATTCCTTTTTTTTTTTTTTTTTAAATTTGTGGCTGTCAGGTGCAGTGGCACACGCCTGTAATCCCAGCTACTTGGGAGGCTGAGGCAGGAGGATGCAAGTTTGAGGCCAGCCTTGGCAACTTAGCAAGGCCCTTAGCAAGTTAACGAGATCCTATCTTAAAATAAAAGATTAGAAGAGCTGGGATGTAGCTCAGTAGTAGAGCACCCCTGGGTTCAATCCTTGACTCTGCCAAAAAAATTTTTTTGTGGCAAAGTATATGTAACATAAAATTAGCTGCTTTAACCTTTTTGAGGTGTACTATTAAGTGACATTAAGTACAGTCACAGTGTTGCACAACTATCCCTTCCATCCGTCACTTATTCCTCCTCGGTGTAGCTGAACCTTATACTTTTTATGTGGATCTGTCACATTCACTTTTCCCTCTGGACCCTTTTGTCTTTGGGGATCTGGCAGCTGTGGGCATCCACGTCCTTGGCCTTGTGCCGGGGAGTGGAGTTGCGGGGTGCCATGGTAGCACTGTGTACCCCCCGAGGATGCTTCTGGCTTAGAAGATGGCCACAGCCGTGAGGGGGGAGGTGTGGGCTGAGTGGCTGCTTCAGGCAGCCAGTAGGGGGGTGGTGGCTCCCAAAGGGGGTGACCAAGAGCAAGGGATTTTTGTGGCATTTGGGCTGGGGGGTCAGATGGGAAGGGTTAGGGATGGGGCTGGGGTGTGTCACCACCTGGCCAAGGCTTCCTGGTTATTTATGTATTTATTTTATATTTTGTAGTTGCAGAGGACACGATACCTTATTTTACTTATATGTGGTGCTGAGGATGGAACCCAGCGCCTCGCGCGTGCAAGGCTCTGCCGCAGCCA